AACAACAAACGAAAAGGATTTCCAGCAATAAGCAAGCAGAAAAACAGAGAGATAAAACAATAGAATCGAAGTTGGAATGTAGATAGGTGAGTTCTTTTTTTTTTTTTTTTGATAAATAAAATTTTATTAAAAAACGCTCAAAAGGGGAGCGGATCCCAAGAAAAGTACAAAAGACCACAAAGGCCTCAAGCCTTCAAGGAGCCAAAAAGTCAACAATCTCCTCCAAAGAACTATGATCTCTCCCTGAAACCAAACAAAAAAGAGTGGAAAGAATCGAGAATTTAAGCACCGAAATCGACATCGCCTTTCCTTCAAAATATCTCCTATTCCTTTCAAGCCAAATACACCACCACACACAAAGCGGCGTAGCCCTCCACGCATCCTAACAATGAGCCCCCACAGGGCAATCTCTCCACGCCTCAATCAACCCTCTAGCAGATCCTGGCATAACCCAAGAAAAACCAAATAAGCCAAGCATCAAATCCCAACACTCTCTAGCCAAAGAGCAATGAATGAGAAGGTGATCCACTGATTCCTCATAGCGAAGACACATATAACAACGATTGACCACCACCTGGCTTCTTCTTCTCAAATTATCTTGGGTTAAGATCCTTCCTAGAATCGAAGTCCACACAAAGAAAGCCATCTTGATAGGAGCCTTAGAACGCCAAACAGACTTCCAAGGAAAACGAACTCTAGGATCAAACGAGAGACATCTGAAGAAAGACCTCACCTCAAACCGCCCCTGGGAGTTTGCAACCCATGACCAACAATCTGAATCCTCCTCCACAATCCTCTGGCGATGCAACAGCTCCAAGAAATGAATGGCCTCCTCGATCTCCCAGTCCTGAAAGAAACGCCTGAATCGAACATCCCAAACCAGTCTCCCATTATCAAGATGATAACAGTTAACCACCTTGGCTTACCTATCCGAAGCAATCTTGTAAAGCTGAGGAAAAGCGAGGTCGAGATTACTTCAATAACTAATAAATCTTAGTACTTGATTACTTCAATAACTAATAAATCTCAACCCTCCAAAGTACTTAAAAATTCACATGACAGTCACATGACTATTTAAAAAGACTAGGACTATAACTATCATTTACCAAATAACATAAAACATAAAAATAAAATAAGACATATAGAAAATAAGCAAATAACTAAAACCCAAGCCTAGTTGGCTATGGGGCCCGATTAGTCTTGGAGAGCCTCGTAGATGCTTCTGCATCAACTCCCCCTGGTTGGGAAAAACTTGACTCCGGCGAGAAAGCCTCCACAACTTCAGCATATATTTCTGGATTAATTCTTTTCAGCTCTTTTTCAGCAATCCATGTACTGTCACTAGCAGGTTTACCCAACCATTTCACTAGCAACCTCGTATATTGGTTGCCCCTCCTTGATTTCACCTCTTTAACATCCAATACATCTTTGACAACATCTGGTTTCACCTTTGGAAGGTACTTGAGTTGTGCCTCTGTTGAAACTGGTTCCCCATCAAATCCTTAAAACGAATACAGATCAGACACGTTGAAGATTGGGCTTATTTGGAGGTCAGATGGTAGCTCTATCATGTACGCATTTGAGTTAATTTTCTTTAGCACCTTGCATGGCCCAAACTTCTTTGACTTCAATTTATGATAAGTGCCTTTTGGGAATCTGTCTTGCCTCAAATGCACCAAAACCATGTCACCCTCTTCAAAATCTTTGACTTTTCGGTGTTGATTGGCTGTTGTTGCATGGGATTCATTACTAACCTTGATCGCTGCCCTTACTTCTTCGTGCACTTTTTTTATGTGATCTGCAAATGCCTCTCCATCATCACTCACTTTTACCTCTTGTGGTAGCGGAACTAGATCAAGAACATGCTGAAGTTTTAGTCCATAAGCAGCTTCAAAATGTGTCTTCTTTGTAGATCTATTCACGGAATTATTGTATGCAAATTCAGCTTGCAGAATAATTAAATCCCACGCCTTCACATTGCTTCCAACAAGGCATCTCAGTATATTATCCAAACTCTGACTTACTACTTCAGTCTGACCATCTGTCTGAGGATGGCATGTGCTAGAGTACTTTAATTCAGTCCCAAACTTTTTCCATACAGTCCTCCAAAAGTGTCCCGGACATCTCTATCAGAAACAATAGAAGTTGGCACACCATGTAGTCTCACCACTTCTTTGAAAAATAACTCAGCTACATGTGTGGCATCTGCAGTTCTAAAACATGGAATGAAATTCGCCATTTTGGAGGAACGGTCCACCACAACAAAAATACTATCATGGCTCCTTGCCGTCTTTGGCATGGCTCCTTGCCATCTTTGGAAGTCCCAACACAAAATCCATGCTAATATGAACCCAAGGAGGTTCTGCCACTGGAATGGGTGTGTATAAACCTGTGTTTTGTGAACTGCCCTTCCCAAACTGACTAACATCGACACCTCCGAACAGCCTATTGACATCCTTGTACATTCCAGGCCAATAATAACGATCAGCCACCATTTCCATTGTCTTAACCCTGCCAAAATTTCCTCGTATTCCATTTCCATGAAGTTCTCTAATAATTTATTCACGTAAAGATCCCTCTGGAATGCACAACAAGTTTCCTTTAAATAAATACACATTATGCATTCTAAATGGCAGCATCTTCCAACCTGCATGGTTTTGAAGTTCAGCAACTACAGAGCTGAAATATGGATCTGTAACATACTGATTTTTCAACTCCTTAAACCCAATAACTTGGGTACTCGTCACTGTCAATAATAGATTCCTGTGACTCAAAGCATCTGCAACTTTATTAGACTCGCCAGTTTTGTACTTAAGACAAAAATTGAACTCTTGAAGGTATGGAACTCCATTTGACATGTTGGGCATTCAACTTCTTTTGAGAATTCAAGTACCTCAAGGCTCGATGATCTGAATAAACCGCAAATTCTTTATAGGCTAGGTAGTGTTCCCAATGTTGGATTGCACGAACCAAAGCATAAAATTCCAAATCATATGTGGAATAAACAATAGTGAATTGCACCTGACAACTTCTTACTAAAAAAATCCACCGGCCTTCCTTCTTGACTCAAAACAGCCCCTATTCCTGCATGCAATGCATCACACTCAATAGTGAATTGCACTTCTCAAAATCTGGTAGCGTGAGTACTGGAGCTTCTATCAGGAATCTTTTTATTTGTTCAAAGGCTCTTTGTGCTGATTTTGACCACTCAAAAATATTTGTTTTCAAGCATTCAGCGATCGGACTCATAATGGAGCTGAAATTGCGATTGAACCTCCTGTAGAATGAAACCAATTCATGGAAACTGCGAACGTCACCAACAGATTGTGGTACTGGCCACCCCGTAATAGCTCTTACTTTTTCAGGATCAGCTTGCAAACCATCGGCTGAAACAATAAAGCCAAGAAACACAACTTTGTCACACAGAAAAGAGCACTTTTTCAAGTTTACATAAAGCTTCTCCGTACGGAGAACCTCCATGACTTGGCGTAAATGGACTAAATGTTCTTTTCTTGTATGACTATATATTAATATGTCATCAAAATAAACAACCACAAATGAGCCCAAGCGGTGATGATGGGCGGAATTGAAGGGCATCCTTGTCTCGTGCTCCGATGTCATCCTCGAGATCGGTCCCGGTACCGAAAATCTCACCGAGAAGCTCATCAACGCAGGCAAGTTCATTATTGCTGTTGAAATTGACCCTCGTAATGTCCTCGAGTTGGAGCGTCGTTTCCAGATTAGAGAGAGACTCAGTTATTGTGTGTGTACAGTGAATATACGTGTGTGAGAGAGTCAGAGAATATATGAAGCCTATGATATATTGTTGTACTTGTCACAAGGGTAGTTTTGTAACTCTGCAATACTCTATGAGGTTAAAAATGTCATTTCAGACATTGTGAAGGGCAAATTGACCTTGCGCTCATTTATTCCTCCTGACATCAGCACCAATCGTCTATTACTTAACGGCAGGAGGTAACTTGCTACGTATGGTCAAAGGTTAGGGGGGGTGTGTGGAATATTGAAACCTAGAGGGGGTGTAGGTGGGATATGGTCAAAGGTCAGGTGGTGTAGGTGGAATTAATCCTTGGCTTTATTACAATAAAGGAAAATTAATAAAAATCTGAAATTACTTAAAATCAGCAAGTTTCCAAAAATCAGAACATGGAAAGTTTCCAAAAAGCAGAATGTGGAAAGTTTCCAAAAATCACGAAGTTGATAAAATCATTGACTGCATCAAGCATCGAGAGAAAGTCTGTTTCATTGATGAAGAGCAACAGTTGAATTGGTAGAGTAGGCAGAAGACTGAAGCGCACAACAGCTAGGCTTGTGAGACATAAGTGCGAATTAGGCATGAGACTAAGGTGTCGGCAGCTATCGTGTTTAGTTGAGTTGTCAAGGATAGGTCAGTGTGTCGAAATATGGGATTTTGTTGTACTTTTTTAGATTCATAGTGGATTGATCAGCTGGGGATGTTAGTATCTGTGGTTTTCTCCGGTTAGGTTTTTCAATGTAAAAATCAGGTCTCATTTACTTTGTCTGGCAATCTGCTTTAATTTTTTGTTGTGTTTAATTGCATATAATTTGCATTAAGTTTAGAATCTAATAAAAAGAGCAAAACCTGTTCACACTACTCAAGGTCTACATGTGTGCTTGTGAATCTGTTGGGAAGTTTCTGCATATGCACTCTCAGATGGCTTTTTTTGGTTCATTGTTTTTTGATCTTTGGGTCACCTAAAAATGAATTCAAAGATGATAAATATTAACTTGGTGGACTCATTGTAGTTCGCTAAGTGTTACTGAAGTTACATACCGCAGTTTGTAAACAATTATAACTTTGGTGTCCACACAAATATCTGTTTACATTTAAGTGCCAATATAGTGTGGTATTGATGCTCATAGTTATTCCCTTTCTGATAACTCCTTGTGCTTGTCGCGTGCCTTCCACATTCATCTGGAATGCCATATTAAATTTGTTATTTTATGGTCAATTTGTCCAGGTTCCAGTAATATGTTTGATTTTAAGTAAATCTCTAAGTCGACACCTAAGATTTCAACGGGAAGCTGCGGCTGCAGCATTGTCAGAGTTTATATGTTACAGGTACGTCCAGTTTGATCTGCCTCCAAAGATGCTTTGTATTTGTTCTGTCTCATTTTTTTATTTAGTATCTTAAACTTTTTTTTCCCTGTTGCAACTTTTGTTAACTATCTTCATGTAAATACTGGTGTTAGTTCTTTGATATTGCTGTTCCCCCCAACCAAAAAAAAAAAAAAAATCACGGGTGAAAGTGTGGGTGACTTTTTATTTATTTACTTACTTATTTGTACTCATCATATAAAAACTTTGGGTAGAATTTTTAGTAATGTCAAAATTAGAAGGCAGAATTACTTTTCTCTTTCTCTCGTCTTACAGGTGCCCTTACCATAGATATATATAGTTGATTTTTCTCTAGTAGTCCATGTTAGTTAGTAAGAATGGATTTCCTTATACCCATTCTTCCTTTAACAAGTCTGTTTGTCAAAATTTCCGAAAATCCAACTATATAGCCATCTAGATTATCATCTTGTCTTCAGTGAATAATAAAGGTCACAGTACAACATTTGACGTTATTAAAAGATCTTCATAGAAACCTCAGGTGATCTAGGAAAGCTCTGGATAACTGCACCAAACAGTCCGAGAAATTTTGCAATGTGTGATTGAGCAACCCACAAGGCTCCATATTCTTGCTTCTCAAAATTAGTACTAATGTATCATCAATTCCCTGTGAGAACACCTATTCTTAACAAAAGCATATTGCAGCATCTCTCAGTCATTGAATCTTTTCTGACATTTGGATTCCAAGATACTTTGCCTCCATTATCCAGAACTTCACCAAAAATACGGATTGGTTTATCATTCTGTTGTAGACTATTGATAATGTATTATCCAGCAAGCAATTCCACATAATTACATGTTTAAAATCATAATTTTGTTATGCTACTCCTAGTAAATTACATGACTTTAGTAGATATTCAAAATAGTACTGGCTATTATGAGATTTATAGTAGACTGGTAAGCTTATAGTTCAGGTTTGCAAAAGGTGGAATAAAGGTCCTAGGAGCATAGAAGGCAGGGAATTGAAATTTGTGGAAGGCTGATTGCTGGAAATTTCTGGACAACTACTATTGTGAGTTTTTGGTTATTTGACTAAGCCTCTTAAGAATTATTGGGTAGAAATTTATGTACAATTTTGGGGAGGGCGAGGGGGAGGCATTAGTTGTTTTTAAAAAACAACAAAATTCATCACTGCAAACAGAAAGAATCTTGGAACCTTTCCTAGGATCTCGCAAGCTTTACCATCCTAGTTAGATTGCATCATTAAAAAAATCCTTCACAACTCTTTAAACTTGTTAGAATGTTTATGTATATATATATTTATGTTGGGTCATTATGTAATTACCCATAGTTGTTAGGATCATTGTGTAATTAGGTAACCTTGTATAATTAGGTTATTTGTTTTCCTTTATATAAGCCACTGTAGGCTTAAGGGTTAATAGAGATATATACAATATTCACAGTTTTGCTCTCTCTCTCTCTCTCATGAATTCGAACATGGTATCAGAGTAATATGAATTCAATGGTGTGGGAAATGGCAAGTGTGTTGTTATTGTATAAGATTGGAATCGCGATCGGAATCGCGATTTTGGTGGTGTTCTCTCTGCCAGAAGTTTGGTCGCCGGTCGGATTGAGAGCTCCTCGTTCGTCGTCCTCAGATCTGAAGCCTCATTCGTCGTCTTCAGACCTGAAGCTCGTTTTGCTGCTCGTGTCGTTGCCGTTTTGGTTGTCAGCGAGCTCGCCGACATCTACCATTGTTATTTGCAGCGGTGAGTTCATCGATTCGTGGTTCCTTCTTGACCGAAAGTTGTAGAGGTTTTGATTCGGTGTGGTCGATTCGTCTGCTGCTTGTGACTGGGTCGCCGAAGCCTCCGCTGTGTTGTTCCCCGGCATCCGTGAAGGTGTGAAGAAGAAGAACCGTGTTTGGCTACACGGTTATGTTATTCCAACCCTGGTTTACTAAAACCAGGATAGCAGAGATTTGGCCCGTTTGACCAGACCCTGTCCGTTTGGCCAGGCCCGGCCCGTTTGACCAGATCCGGCCCGTTTTCCAGATCCGGCTAGAATACAATTTCTGCGTTTTTTTTTTTTGGTTCTTCTCCATGGTTGCCAGTTCCGATCTGTTATTCTCTGCCTCTTTCAATCCTCCCATGACTTCAGTTAAGCTCAATGGCAAAAATTACATCTTATGGGCCAAGTCCGTAGCCATTTTCCTGAAAGCCAAAGGCTTTGGCACTCATTTGGTTAAGGATAAACCTAAGGACAGTGATGCTGATTTCAGTTCATGGGAACAAAGGGATGCTCAGATCATTTCTTTAATGCTGAATTGTATTGAACCTCATATTAGCTCCAACTTGTTGTATTTGGACATTGCCAAGGAGCTATGGACCAGACTCCAACAGTTATATTCGGGTAGTGGCAATATAACCAGAGTTTATGAGGTGTGCAGACAATTCTTTGACCTCCAGCAAGGTACTCACAGTCTAGAAGAATATCTCTCACAGGCAATGGGACTTTGTGAAGAAATGAACTTGTATCAACCCATCACCTCTGATGTGAAGAGTATGCAACAACAACGTGAGGATTTTAATGTTGTTCGGATTCTCACCGGGTTGTCACCAGAGTATGAACCTGTTCGAGCACAGATTTTGGGTAGCCCAACACTTCCCTCTCTTCCTGATATGTTATCACGACTCCAGCGTGCTACTTTATCAAGTGGCGCTTCAGGGGGTTCTTCAAGTGGTGTCAGTGCTCCTCCTAGCAGTGAATGTTCTGCTTTAGTTGTGAATCAAGGTGGCTTTCAGTCTTCCCGTGGTGGTGGCGGTCGTTTTACTCGTGCTCGTGGTCGTGGCAGAGGTCGCGACTCGAAACTTTGCACTCACTGCGGTCTTACTAATCATACTGTCAATTACTGTTGGGATCTTCATGGGAAACCGCAACCTTCTTCCTATACACATCAAGTTACTACTAATGATGGGGATTCTTCGTTCTCTTCCACACCCCCTGCTCCACATGTCTGTTGAGCCTGCAATGGTTACGATTCCCCGCGATGAATATGCTCAGTTTCTGTCTCAACAACGGCCTTCCACCTCATCCTCCATGGTTTCCTTTACCCAATCAGGTAATGCCCCTGCATGTCTCTTGTCCTCTCGTCAGAGTCCCTGGATTCTCGACTCTGGCGCATCCGATCACAGGACGATGACGGGTAGTTCTCATCTCTCATCTGATTTTCAGTTTATTCCTTCCTCTCAAAGTGTTACTCTTGCTAATAGCTCATCCACTACAGTTTTGGGTTTGGGAACTATTCATCTCACCTCTTCTATGTCCCTTTCCTCTATGTTATATGTTCCTTAATTCCCTTTGAATTTGTTGTCCATTAGTAAAATTACTAAATCTCTTAATTGTTCCGTTACGTTTTATCCCACATGTATTTTTCAGGATCTCAAGACGAAGAAGAAGATTGGTACGGGACATGAAGTAGGTGGCTTGTATTACTTGGATCTTGCACCATCTCCCACGGCTCTTCAATCATCTTTGTCTTCTTTCTAGTGGCACTGTCGTCTCGGCCACCCATCCTTCTCAGTTTTGCAGCGTCAAGTCCCCGGTCTTAGTCGTGTTGAGTCCATGTCTTATGAAGCATGTCAGCTTAGTAAGCATTGTCGTATATCTTTCAAACCGAGAGCTAGTTATCGTGTTGCTAGTCCTTTTCAATTAGTTCATTCATATGTATGGGGACCAATAAAACATATTTCTATTAATGGATTTCGTTATTTTGTGACTTTTGTGGATGATCATTCTCGTATGACTTGGTTATTTTTAATGAAAAATCGTTCTGAGTTGTTCTCTATTTTTCAAATATTTCGCAAAGAAATAAAAACTCAGTTTGGGTGTTCCATTAAAATTTTACGTTCTGGCAATGCCAAAGAATATTTCTCGTACCCTTTTGAGACTTATTTCCATGCTAAAGGCATCATTCATCAATCCTCTTGTACGTATACTCCTCAACAAAATGGAGTAGCTGAACGTAAAAATCGTCATCTCTTGGAAGTCTGTCGTGCCCTTTTATTTCATATGTATGTTCCTAAACGTTTTTGGAGTGTTCTTACGGCATGTCATCTTATTAATTGGATGCCCTCGTTAGTGTTACAAGGTCAATCTCCTCATTCTGTTCTATTTTCCGACTCCGCATCGTTTAACCTTACTCCTCGGGTCTTTGGTTGTGTGTGTTATGTCCATAACCTTGGACCCAGTCTTTGATAAACTCGACCCTCGTGCCACTAAGAGTGTTTTTCTTGGTTATTCTCGCACTCAGAAGGGTTATCGTTGCTATAGTCCTCATTTTCAACGCTATTTTACTAGTGCTGATGTCTCTTTTTCTGAGTCTCTTCCATATTTTTTTGATTCTACTACTCCTCTCGATATTACTCCTGAGCCACCTCTACCAATGGTTCCCTCTCTGTTTCCTGCTTCCGCACCTCCTCGCTCCGTTGTCCCATTGCAGGTTGATACTCGATGACCTTGACCGCCTACTTCGCTCCCTCCATCTCCTTCAGAGTCTTCGGATCCGATGCCTTTGCCTGATGATTTGCCTATTGCTCTCTGTAAAGGTGTTCGGTCGTGCGTTACTGCGCATCCCATTTCTAACTTTGTATCCTACCGTCATATTTCATCCTCTTTAATTTTTTTTTATCCAAAGTGTCTGCTACTTTTATTCCCAAGACTTTGCAGGCTGCTCTCTCTGATTCGGGTTGGCGCCAAGCCATGGTAGATGAAATGGATGCCCTTCACAGTAATCGAACATGGGATCTTGTTCCCTTACCTTTGGGCTCCAAAACGGTTGGTTGTAAGTGGGTTTACACAGATAAATACCTTCATGATGGGTATATTGAGCGGTTGAAGGCTCGTCCAGTGGCAAAGGGGGTACACTCAGACTTATGGTGTTGATTATGATGAGACTTTTTCCCTTGTTGCTAAAATTTCTTCTATTCGGGTACTTATTTCCATTGGTGCCAATTGTAACTGGCCGTTGTTTCAATTAGATGTCAAAAATGCCTTCTTACATGGTGACTTGGTTGAAGAAGCTTATATGGAGCAACCACATGGGTTTGTTGCTCAGGGGGAGTATCGTCACACTGTTTATCGCCTTAAAAAGGCTCTGTATGGATTGAAACAATCTCCATGGGCTTGGTTTGGAAATTCTCTGAGGCGGCATTAGAATTTGGCCTTAACAAATGCCAGACCGATCATTCGGTATTTCACCTGCGTTTTTCTTGTGGTGTATGTAGATGATATTGTGATCACAGGTGATGATTCTGAAGGCATTGCTAAGTTGAAGTTATTTCTGCAAAATCGATTCCACACTAAAGACTTGGGTAAACTTAGGTACTTCTTGGGTATTGAAGTTGCTAGATCCAAGAAGGGTATAAGTTTATCTCAACGCAAATATGTGTTGGACTTGCTAGAAGAAACGGGTATGTTAGGTGGTCATCCGGTTGATGCTCATACGGATTCAAATACAAAACTTGTGTCTGATGAGGGTGATCTATTTAATGACACGAGCAGATTTCGTCGCCTTGTTGGGAAATTAATTTATCTCACTATCACTCGACTTGATATTTCATATGCAGTTAGTGTTGTAAGTCAGTTCATGGGAGCTCCTAGAATGCCACATTGGATTGCTGTTCTTCGGATAATCCGATGTCTCAAGCAAGCTTTAGGTTTTGGGTTACTATACAAATCAAATGGTCATCTCAGGGTGGAAGGTTTTACAGATGCTGACTGGGTTGGTTCTCCTTCAGATAGGAGATCTACTACAGGCTACTGCACATTTGTAGGAGGAAAAATTGTTACATGGAAAAGTAAAAAACAAACGGTGGTAGCTCGATCTAGTGCTGAAGCTGAGTACAGGGCAATGGCCCATACCACTAGTGAGTTGACATGGATACAACATTTTCTAAAAGAACTTGGGTTAACAGTTGACGCTCCTACTCCATTGTTTTGTGATAATCAAGCAACTGTTCACATTGCATCGAATCCTATGTTTCATGAGAGAACCAAACATATTGAGGTTGATTGTCACTTCATTTGGGAAAGAATATTAAGTGGGAGCATTTGTACTCCATTTGTGAAGTCTAAAGATCAACTTGCTGATATGTTTACCAAAGCATTGGGTCATAACCAGTTAAAGACTATCTGTTCCAAGCTGGGATTATTTGATATATATTCTCCAGCTTGAGGGGGAGTGTTAGAATGTTTATGTATATATATATTTATGTTGGGTCATTATGTAATTACCCATAGTTGTTAGGATCATTGTGTAATTTGGTAACCTTGTAAAATTAGGTTATTTGTTTTCCTTTATATAAGCCACTGTAGGCTTGTTAATAGAGATATATACAATATACACAGTTTTGCTCTCTCTCTCTCCTCTCTCTCACTCTCATGAATTCGAACAAAACTCAACTATATTGAATTGAAAATATTACATAGATATTTATATGGAAGTTCCTAGTATATGGTTCAATAAATTTGGACTTGTTACTATTACTAATTCCCAAGGTCTTAAAGCACTTTGTGAATCAATCAGGATAGCCCCTGAATCATATCCTCTCTCTCTCTCTCTATCTGTATCTCTCCTCCCCTAACTTTAAATTCGATGTTTATTACCTATGTGTCACTCCTGAAATTTCTACACCTTTCCTTTTCCACTAACTTCTACATAATGAATTCCCAGTCAACCTTGAACTATATTCTATTATCAGAACTATTTGTTGGGAATTGAAAATTGTTGATCCCTGAAGTTAAAAAGTTAGGAATAGGCTTAGTTTGTTGTTGTATGCTATTCCTGGAATTAAAATTGATGAGGTAACTTCACATGATGATTGTAAATAGTGATTTATTTGGAACCGTCTGATTCAGGTATTGCAATTTGGACAGATTTAGGTATTACAATTTCGATCGAGTTTCTTGTCTTGGACGCTTATACTTTGTTAATACATACTCTAGCATATCTCGATTGTCATTGGATAAGGATGCTGATGCTCACAATGACTACTTTTTCTTCATGGGTTTTTATTAATTTAATGGTTTTGGATTATACACATGCTTTCAAATTCTTATTGGTTGATCCTTCTCAATGGTGCAGTGATGGTTTTGGTTCCTTATTGGAGCAGATGGTTGAAGCATTGTGTCGGCATGTATCAGATGATTCTCCGACTGTTAGACGCCTTTGCCTAAAAGGATTGGTGCAGGTTTTTGATTTTTATGCGTACTTTACATTAGTATTTTCTATTGGGTTCAGTCTAGGAGGAGTTGTTTGGACCTGTGCTTCTTAGTTTTCATTCTATTGTTCTGTCTGACAAGGTCAATGTATTTGTTTTTTTCACTTGTTCATGTTGCTGCACGGACACACCAGGAAAATTCGTGTTCAAAATGTTGTTGAAACTGTCTTATGGTTATTTCTATTTGATTTTGTAGAACCAGATATATTTTTAGTCAAATAGGCAAAATGTTCCATTAACTATAACAATTATTATTATTATTTTTCCCTCCTCCTCCTCTCTCTCTCTCTCTCTCTCTTTTCCTTTTCCTTTCATTATTCCGGCCGGGGCATGATCTTCCAGGTTTTTGTGCTTGCAGATACCATCCATTCATATTCTTCAGTATACTACACAAGTTCTTGGAGTAATATTAGCTTTGCTTGATGACTCAGATGAACCAGTTCAGTTAACTGCAGTCTCATGCTTGCTGATGGTAACTCCTTGGGCCTCTTTATTTTTCTTATACAGGTTGCTTGATTCATTATAAATTTGTCTAGCACCACTTTAGTCTCTTTGTACTTTTATTTTTAAGGTTCTGGAGTCATCACCCAATGATGCTGTTGAACCCATTTTACTAAACCTTTCTGTTCGGCTTCGCAATCTTCAGGTACATTCTTTTTAAATTTGTATCTTTCTCCAAAAATACAGTCTTTATCTGATTCTAGGTGTTCTAATCTCTCTCTCTCTCTCTCTCTCTCTTTCTTTTCTATTAGTATGATTATTATGATAATGCTCCAAAACACATGCAAATTATTGACAGTTGCTGACTAATTGTTGCTGTCCAAGAATAAGTTGACAAAATGCCACGTTTCCTTGCTATTTTGAAATTTCTTTTTCAAGAATACTAGCGTTTGTTCTATACCCTTTTGGTTTTCGTGTCTTCAGAAAAACAAATGAGTTCTCTTGATCAAAATGTTCCCCTTCTTGTTTTTTTAACTGCTAACTGCTTCAAAAGGCAAAAGCTTAAACTATTAGAGAGGGTGTAAGAATATTTTTTTTTAATTTCTTTTAACATGCTCCCTCATATGTGGCTAGACTATTCACGAGTGGGCCAACACTTACATCAATTGTAATTATTAGTGTGGTCAAGAGGATCAAACTCAGGATCTTGCCTGCTCCTGCACCATGATAAAGCTTAGATAAATTATGAGAGACTAAAGAAAAATGGGGAGAGTAAGATTTATGTGGTTCTGTTTAACTCTGATTGTCACTATTTTATCAGCTCAAAGAATAATGATAAAGGTTATGTTTATAGGCACAATTGAATCTTGAGATAGAGACAAGTTGACTATGTATTCTTATCTTTTTGAATGTAACAACCTCTAGAGATGGGTTTTGGTATTTAAATCTGTTGTGACAAATAGTCGCGGACCAAGAAATAGTCACGAAACAAAACAAAAAACAAGCACCACACGAGCTATAGAATTTACGTGGTTCGACACAAGTTGTGCCTACGTGCACAGTGAAGATCCGGTGAAAGGTTTCACTATGCGAAAAGCCCCCAAACCCTAGCTCTTGCTCTCTCTCACTCTTTCTTGCGATTTTCAGTGCGTCTCTCTCTGTCCCACTCCAAACCCTAAACACCCTTATATATTGGGCTACAAGGGAGTACTAAACAGGGTCCATGACCTACAAGCAAAAAGGGGTCAAAAAATAAAGCTCACTCTTCAGGTCAACGACCCAAGCCGAAACAAAATTCAGGCCACAACGTCACAAAATCTGTTCTTTTAACGCTATCCCTCAAATAAAATGAAATGCTCTATACTGCTTGTAAGTTGACTATCTTTCTTTCTTTCTTTTTTTATTTTATTTTTATTTTTTGGCACTTTTTTGTTTTACAAAATCAGCGAATAACTCCATCAAATTGTTCTCGAATCCGCAATTGAATATTCAGGATTGTCTTCTAGCAGAACCTTGTATTTGAAGTAATTGTCTAGCGTACTGTAGCACTGGTTTCTCTAGTGTGCAGCAAAAGAAGTCTTCAAGATTAACACCAATGATCAAAAAACGTGGTGTCGAAACGTATCATGCTTTGCAGCAGAAAAAAATTCGCTTTCACAAGAAACAACAATGAATAAAACTTGTCTGGGGAAAATTCCTTCTAATGAGAATTGCTACTGATTCACACTCTTTCTTGTTTCTTTTTAAAAATTTCTCTCAAGGGAGAAAGGGTCAAAGAAACTAGGAGGAAATGAGAGCAGATGAATAAAAATTCAAAATGAGGTCATCAACCTTCTGTGTTACCTTGATAAAGTTGAAATAAAATTTAAAAACAAAGGCCAGAAGAACAAATAGATAGATCAATATTTAAATGTTTTGTCCTCAAAGTCCCACATCCAGTAGAACTATAATTTTCTTGGCCCATCTAAATCTTTGAGATAAAGATAAGTTGACTTTGTATCATTCTCTCTTATATTGAATATAACCAATTCTAGAGATAATATTTAATAACTAAATCTTTATCCCATACCAATGCATTATTACTAACATATTTAATTTCCATGTCTTATCAGTGGCTAGTTCATGCAATAGTTATAGGAAGGGAGAAATAAAATATTATCATTAAAGAATACGAAAGGAGGGGTCATGAACACTAGTGCTATACTGAACATGGAAAAGCTGGAATGCACAAACAAAAAAACATGTACTCCGTAAAATATAAGGACTGAGATTTTCCTAGCAACGCCTATATATTTTTCTGGCATGATTAATGATTGATTTACCAATATCTTTCCTTAATTCGTTAGCCAAGAAGAAATGCGGCTTTATAAGATGCAAATTTTTTTTTATCGAATTGTAGATAAGACTTGTCTTCATAAAAAAATGGGCTCCAACTTTTTCCTGAAATAATGCTGTGGAATTAAATTTTACTCACCTTGCACCTTCCCACCTCAAATTACAGTGAGCCGCATGGGCACAAATGAGATCAGCTGACCTCACTGAAATTTTGAGGGAAAAAAAGGGGGGTATATCCAATGATTTGTACTGTTATGTGGTTACCCCCCCCCCCCCCCCCCACCAAAACTTTGAAAATCAAATCTCATGGATTTATAATTAATGTTGAGAACCGACGGGAAAATTACGGGGTAAAAATAGAGGCTTAAAACAGATTTATGTTTCACTAATGGACTCGTGCATTCTCATCTCTGGGAGGGAGGGGAAGGGAAACACGGCGCACACACGACTCTCGGGTGCAGGGAGGTGAAGAGGGATGGAGGGGTGAGGGAACTTATCACTGAATGCTAAATCTGACAAGTGAAAACTAATTGTTAAAATTGAACGTAAGGGGGTGGGAGTGAGGTTACTAATTACTGAATGTCGAATCTGACTAGTGAAAAGTGATTTTACAATTTAATCTAAGAGGTGGGGAGGGATGTGATTTAGAAAATTATTGTATTAATAGGCTGTCAAATGGAATTGATCTCTTGTTTTATTTATGAATTTTGTTCACATCAGAAGAACAAAGACGTTTCGTCATGCATTAGTTAAGAATGGTGATCAACTCTATTATAGGCCGGCCAGTGATACCATGTTAATGTGGATCATTATTACATAGGATTGCAAGCTGATATCAGCTTTGTCAAGCTTGGTTAGATGGTCTCTCGAGGCGGTGGCTTGGCTCGGTGACATGTTAAAACTTGACTTCAATTCAACAAACTGTAAAAACAAGTCTGATCTAATGTAACGTAAAGGTTTAGGTCAAACATTACCTGATTATGTTATTAATTATGCATTCTTTAGACACCTTTGGTGCATTAATAACGCAAGCAAGTTTAAAAACACTACTCTTGTAATGTTAATGCAAGCTGTTCATGAGTAAAACGGGCCAAGCTTCGTTCATTTGCTTATTGTATGAGCACAAACAAGTCCCATTGCCCACTGAGAATCGGCTGTTCTTGAACAGCTCAGTTCATTTGTAGCCCTATCTTTAGCATCTTCTAGGTTTGGAGTTCAGTTCATTAGCTCATTAAACGGGTGTGAACAAGCCCCATGTCAAATTGTGCTGTTCATCGACGTGGTGATATTGCAACCTATTTTTAGCATCTTTAAACTCTGGAAATGCATTCAGCTTTAGATCCTTGAAGTCACACTAAAACCAATAGATTGCAATGAATTTTCAAATGTTTGTTTTCTCTTGCACTTCTTATACAAAACTGGGTGCTAAATTTATCAGTGTCTGAAAAATCTCAATATGGAAACAGATAAGCATGAATGCAAAGATGCGTGCGGATGCCTTTGCAGCATTTGGAGCTCTAAGCAACTATGGCGTTGGGGCACAACACGAAGCATTTCTTGAGCAGGTCCAATATTGACTCTAATTAAACCATATGAAACTACATTATGCATTATTTTTTAAAATAATTTGGAATTAATAATGTTGAATTATGAACTGTTTTATTTATATTTCTCATTTGGCTAGAAAAGCATTGCTACGTTCATGTTCTCACTCGGATTATGTTTATAAATTGTTCAGTTAAACTGAAAATATTGCTCACTTCCTTAATATGGTATTGAAACTTGTATAATCTTTTGACTTAGTTTTTGCATATTGAAAATGTTAGTTCAACTTTCCTGTCGTATTGACTCAAAATTTTTTTTTTTCCCTCTTTTTGTTCTACCTGCAGCTGCCACAATCCAATTACTTAATTATAACTAACTATTGGATTAAGAAAATTATAGGAATACAATGCTGTTGCTAGTGGGAATGAACTATCATACCAATTACTTCAGCTGCCATGAACTAATTACTTGATTATAACTAACTATTGGATTAATAAAATAATAGGAATACAATACTGTTGCTAGTGGGAATGAACTATCGTACCAATTACTTCAGCTGCCATGAACCAATTACTTGATTAGAACTAACTATTGGATTAAGAAAAATAAAGGAATACAACTGTTAATATCCTCTCTTTTTTAAAAGAAAAAAAAAAAAAAAATTTAAAAAGATTGCCCTTTTTCTTTTTCTTTTTCTTCGACTCGTCCTTTTATATGCTATGTGCCCTAAATCATAGTGAATTTGGCTAAAATGATTTTTATCTGTAACCTTTTCAGTCCAAATTTTTCTCTCATTGGTGGGCACTGGTCACTGGTTGGTGTATCACAAGCTTGACACTGTTACATTTAGTTAATTTTCATTGTGATAGTGTAGCATGGATTCCATTGAACTCTATTCTACTTATCTATAGTGTAGTTGTTGCATTTTTTCATACCAATTCCTCAACTGGTTAAACTGATGTGGAGGCAAACAAAGATTTTGGTTCTTTAAATAAATTTTGCTTTCAGATAAAAGAAATATGCAAGCTGCTGGTGCTTCTTAATTTTATTTTTGCATTCTAACTATCTCTATAACTATTTGAAATTTGATTACGTGTCTCAGGTACATGGTGACCTACCACGCTTGGTTCTGCATCTTCATGATGATGATCTCTCTGTCCGTCATGCTTGTCGGGTGAATGATTAGCACCAGCTAATTCTCTTCTTAATTTGAAATTTCTTTGGAAAACTCTAAAAGATGAATTTTTTCTGTTTATTTGACAGAAAACCCTAAAAAGGATTTCCCCACTGTTGGAATCAGAAGGAACATTTGTCCTCTACAACACACACTGTTTTAATTCTGACCACCGGTATGGATTAAATATCTGAAATTCTCAATGTTTTTCATGTTTCGGGACCTTTAGCCTTTCTTACGGTGACAAAATTACACTAGAGTTCCTTTTGTGTTTTTTTAGAAGTGACTATGAAGACTTCGTCAGGGACCTCTCCAGGCAGTTCACTCTACATATGGCCTCCAGGGTTGACACATACATGGCTTCTGCTATTCAGGTTTAATCTCCCGGCTTTCCCTTGTGTTTCAACTATTAGCTTATCCACGTCTCATGACTTTGTCATCTGCTTATTATGTGCAGTGAAGAGTCAATGTTACTCCAAAAGGCTTTTTCCCCAATACCAAAAACTATATAAATCTGTTTGTTAGGGTTTTTCCTTTTTCTTTTTTTTTTTCTTTTTTTTTTTTCTCTCACTTGACTTCCATATTCATTGTTGAATCCTGGGACTTCATGTTTTTCCTGATAGCCTCAACTCACATTTTTCTTTTTTGACCTTTTCTTCAACTCATTGCTGGTCCTATAATTTTTGGACTTGCACGTGATTGTAGGCAACTAGGGGGTTGTCAAATCTGTAAACTCCCAAAGGGTAGTTCATGTTTGTTGGCCTGTTGGGACATGACTATATATGTTTGTGTTTGTAATTTTAGTGTATTGGATGTGTGTGTGTGTGTGTGTGTCTATGCACCTTTGTTGAAGTTTGTTTAATTGTATACTATGTTGCATGGACTTTGGATGCGAGTATCTGGTGTGTCCAAGTTTAAACCTCCTGGGATCCCAAATCTTAAGACACAGGGAAATGTGTCCAAAAGTTGGATATGGGTATTGAAACATGTACTAAGCACATAAATACATTGTGTGTTATGTAAATAATGTAATGTTCGATGTAGTCGTTCTTTAAAATATACTAAACTATTGAGTTAAATTGACTGCCATGTGGTAGGGGGGGAAAAAATTTCTTTCTATCTATATCATAGATAGGAAACTCTTCTCTGCTATCAAATTTGAGCTTTTGTTTCTTCAATCATCACCTGTAAAGGACCAAGGTGTTCAATTTGGGTTTGTGTGCCAGACACATAGCCCATACCCTTACCCATTGCCATATTTTGTCTACGTGAAGGGAGATAGGAGAGTTTATGTAATGCAGGTTGGGTAAAGTCGTCATGCCGCAATGATTCATAAATTCCAAATCAACATGGCATTGTGCCCTTATTCTTTTGCCCACTCTGTGGACTTAGATTTGTTTTGATACAGTAGTTGTCGGTTTATGTTGCACATACCTGAACCATAGATTGACTTTCACCCATTTTGTGCTGTTGAATTGCCTTGATCTCCAATTTCCTAAGAATGGGCTCATGTGTAATCTTAACCTTTCTTGTCTTGTCACTCTTTGATATGAACATATTTCTCCTAGATTGGACTCATTTAATTTCTTGACAGGTCAGCATTATTTGGTATTTTGAGTCAGTGTAGCTGGCCTTGATAAGCATGATTTCATCTTAAAAAGTGATACCTTCTCTAAATACTTCTTAGTACGGATCCCTTCAACCTTGCAACCTTGTGGTTCCTGGTAACGTGCTGCATTGGCCTCAGAATCATCGAAAACGTCAGTTCCCGCAGCCAACCTTTATCATTTTATTTTGTCTTGCTTGGGGTGCTTGAAGTTTATTACGCCAAAGCTATCAAGAGAGCACCAAATGCTGACAGTGACGAAGTTTACTGGCTTTTTGGTGGATGTGGAGCCAATGAGTTTAGCCGAACAGCGTAACGATCAGAATTTCATCATTGAACTGTCCCTGATTTACACATTATTACATCTATTCTTCTAACTCACCTTTATCTTGCAAACTATAGGTTCAAATTTCACACTGTAGAAAAAGGGAAGAAAAAGTCGGTGTTTTCTAGGTTATGTTTTAAAAAATTGAATTTTGATAATAAACATGAGAACTGAGTTTGGTTGTGTTTATAATAATGCAGGCTTTTGATGCTCCTTGGCCAGTTATTCAAGCAAATGCGATATACTTCTCCAGTAGCTTGCTCTCTCTCTCAGATGATCAACGGATCTCTGCTCTTTATTGTAATCAGGTCTTGCTCAGATGCACGCACTATCGGTTATTTGTGTTTATTTATAGCCAAAGCAAATGCATTAAAATAAAATAACTTGTTTTCTCTTTAGTTGTTTGGTATTTTGGTGGGAAAGATGAGTCGTTCTCCAGACGCAATTGTCAGAGCAACTTGCTTTTCAGCCCTGGGCCTGCTACTAAAATCCACCAATTCGCTGTCATGGAGATCTGCTGGGCTTGATCGTGTTGACTCAACTCGGAGGGGCCATGTTTCGGAGTCTTCTATGAAGTAGCAGTGTGGGAACGATGAAAATGGCCATTCTAATTTGTGAGGCTGAATGACAACTCTTCAAGATAAAATTTGAATTTGTGGATCTAATCTGGGTGCATCGCAATTCAGTCTATTGTAAAGTAGCAACACCAAGGGTAAAATAGAAAGGAAGTACGGGTCGATTTGCAAGCTGTGTACCAAGTTACTTTGTGGATGGAAGATGGGTCTGAAGCTGTACCTGTATTGTATTCAAAATGTACAATTGCCTTCGAATATTAACCATAGTGCTGTAGACATTTGTAAATTAGGTTAGAGTATATATAATCTAGATTCTAGGTTGCTTCAAACTTGTGTTTGGGGTATCTATTCTAGATTCTTGGTTTTTATTTTCGTAAACTGATGTTGTGAGCCTAAAGCTGTAACGATAATGTTGTAAATTGAAGTTGTGATCGGCGTGTAATTGGTCTATTGGATCTGTACTTTCGACAGAAGCGAAAATTGTTGTATATTCACTTTTAGTTTTCAATAATGGAAGTTAATTAGTATACATATATATATATATATATATATATATATTTATGAAAGGAGAAGATGCATATGTATGTTACTGATATCTGGTGCTGGAGGAATTAAAATAGACAAGACCAAAAATATCACAAGAAATGGAAAAATGACGCGCACACTGACACGTTGAAGCTCTAAGGAGCATAGTCTCGAGACGTCAAAATTTCAAGGTTGAGATTTTTAATTGAAAAGGCCGGTTGGGGTCCCACTTCTCATTCTCTTTGATTTTCAGTTTCAGCATACCTACTAACTACATACAGAAAATTTCTGAAATGGAGCCTATTGTGATTCATAAATTGATGAGCCAAAAAATTTTCACATCTAACCTAAATTTAACCTCTATCAAGTGCCATAACTATACAGAAAAAAACTCTTATAAAACATACAATAAATTATAGTTCTTTTATGCTCACCAACCCAGAATATATCCCTTAAATAGTGAAGTGGAAAAGAGCTGTGGACTATAAATTTTTGAAACAATGGACATCACGCAATGACTCGTAGCTGACTCGAATCACTTGTCTGACTAAGAAAAGCAGTAGGCAAAACAATTTTTTGCTTCTACAACATAAATTATTACTATTAAATAAACTGTATGAGCCTAAAAGAGTATTAAAATGTTCAACATAATTTGAAGGCTGTCCAAACTTTGGATTTATCGAATGCCAACGAAAGAGAGGCGTGTAAAAAGGCCCCTAAAATGTTTGGTACACATTTAAAGGCATGTCATTTCTACAAAAATTCAAAAGAGACAATTTACCTAAACCTCACTTTCTTTGTAGCACTGTACTTGTTTATAAAAAACACTCTGCTCATGTATGCTCTTACGTCACTCCCTTCTGCTAAAGTTGGTATAAAACCAGAAACCCAATGATTCTTCATTCACAACCAACCCTTTTGCAATGGCTTCACAACCCCACCATCTTCACTTTGTTTTGATACCCTTAATGGCCCAAGGCCACCTTATTCCCATGGTAGACATGGCTAAGTTATTAGCCCAACGAGGCATTGCGGTCACCATTGTCACCACACCCCTCAATGCTATCAGATTCAATGCCATCACCGATCGCGCAATCGAATCCGGGCTCCCCATCCGGGTTCTCCAACTCCGGTTTCCATCCGTGGAGGCCGGCTTGCCGGAGGGATGTGAGAGCACGGATACAGTCCCTTCTCAAAACTTGGTTAACAATTTCTTCGGGGCGCTTGAGATGTTGCAGCAACCACTAGAACAAGTGTTTGAAGAGTTGCAGCCCAGACCGAGTTGCATAATAGCCGATAAGCATGTTGTGTGGGCAGCTGATACAGCTAAAAAGTTTGGGATACCACGGATTAGTTTTGATGGGATGAGTTGCTTCACTCTCTTGTGTACACACAATTTACACATTTCCAAGGCTCATGAGGGTGTCCCTGGGTCTCATGATCGGTTTGTCGTGCCTGGTTTGCCCGATCATATCGAGTTCACTAGAGCACAGCTGCCCGGACAATTCAATCCAGGCACATTGAATATGAACCATATTCGGAAACGAATAAGAGAAGCCGAAATGGGAGCATTTGGAGTGGTGGTCAATAGTTTTGAGGAGTTGGAAGCAAGATATGTTGGTGAATATCGGAAGGTGGATAAGGTATGGTGTATTGGGCCATTGTCATTATACAACAAAGAGGAGTTGGATAAGGCTCAGAGAGGAAACAAGGCCTCAATCGATGAGAGCCAGTGCTTGAAGTGGCTGGACAAATGGAAGCCCAGCTCTGTAGTCTATGCTTGTCTCGGAAGCCTAGCTAATGTTGCAGCTCCACAGCTAGTAGAGCTCGGTTTAGCCTTGGAAGCATCCAACTGTCCCTTTATTTGGGTGATTAGAGGAGGGGATAGAACGAAAGAGCTAGAGAAGTGGATGAAAGAAGGAGGGTTTGAGGAGAGAACAAAAGGGAGGGGCCTTTTGATCCGAGGTTGGGCTCCACAAGTATTGATCTTGTCACATCCTGCCATTGGCGCGTTCTTGACACACTGTGGTTGGAATTCGACGCTGGAAGGAGTATGCGGCGGCGTGCCAATGATAACATGGCCCTTCTTTGGCGAGCAGTTCTTGAATGAGAAGTTTGTTGTAGAGGTATTGGAGATTGGTGTGAGTGTTGGGGCTAAGGCTGTTGTGCACTGGGGTACAGAACACAAGTGTGGAGTGTTGGTGAAGAGGGAGGAAATTAGGAAGGGTGTGGAGAGAGTAATGAGTGAAGGAAAAGAAGGAGAAGAGAGAAGGAAAAGAGCAAAAGAGCTTGGGGAGATGGCAAACAGGGCAATAGAAGAAGGGGGATCATCTCACCTCAACATCACAATGCTAATCCAGGACATAATTCAACAAGCAAAAAATTGGTCATCTTGTTAGTTTTGTGACTCTGTTTTGCTTCAAATTAACTAGAGTAGTTTGATTTATTATTATTATTATTAAGTTAAAAAAAGCTTAAATGCAAATAGAAGGAAATAATCAGTAAGCATATCTAGGATGAGATACAGTAAACACTTATTGTCATCCACTTATATTCCTATAGTCTAATGGAACTTTTTTGATTCATATAATATTGCTACTAAAAGAACATAAGAAAAGAGTAATGTTACTTCCACTTGCGAAAGTAGATGTTGTGGATTGTGGATTGTGATCACTTGTTATTGGTGCAGTGGTAACTGCACTCTCTCTAATTTGAGACGTGATATATGGTGATGGAGATTGTTGTAATTTAGATAACATGGTTAGAATGTTTGGTTGATAGATGGGATTGTGGTTGTAGAATAATTTAGACTTTAGAGAAAGGTAGTTAGCTGTATATGAGGGGAAGCAGAGCCAGGGTATAATTGGGGGTAAATGAATATATATAAATCCTATAAACATTTTATTATGCATAATAGTAATGATAGACAAAGCCAACGGGAAACCTCCTCGATTGAATCATCTCTTACATAAAAAATAAAAAATAAAAGGAGGGGGGCGGGGATTAAATTATAAAACTATACAAATACAGAATTATCTATATTTTGTATAAATCAAATATTTATTGTTTCAAAATTTATATTAAGGAATCTTAAATCTATAATTTATTCATTCTATCAAAGTTTTACAAAATGTATTTGTCTTTTAGAGAAAAAGTAGGAGTCTAAAATAATTTTACAAATGGTGACACTTGAGGAGAAGTGTTGTATATATGGAGAGTTTTTAATTTTCAATTTGTGAGGGAAGGGGAAAGTACCCTTTTTTTTTTTTTCTTGTCATTTATACCATATAAGAGGGGACTTTTTAATTTTATTTTTAATTTTAATTTTAGATAATTCTAGACATACCATTTTTCAATTTGTTTTGGTTTCTAGATTGCTTAAATATTTTTATACATATTTCTCACAATGTGATTTGTCTCTTTAGTTTTTTTATAGATAATTCTAGACATACCATTTTTCAATTTTTTGTTGGTTTCTAGATTGCTTAAATATTTTTACACATATTTTTCACAATATTTGTCCCTTTAGTTTATTTTAGATAAGTCTAGACATACCATTTTTCAATTTGTTTTGGTTTCTAGATTGCTTAAATATTTTTACACATATTTTTCACAATGTGATTTGTCTAAAATAATAATAATAATAAATTTCATCTAGATTTTTCAAATCTTTAAGAAAAAGCAGTGCTACTCTCACCGAGAGCTCAAGCTGATCCCGACCAGAGTTGTTCCACAACATCAACAATGTAACACGTTAACATGCTAAGTTCAATTATTATCATTCGAACTTCTTCTTCTTATTTAATTGGCAAAAAACTCACACACTCATTTAACCCCACAGAACACTAACCCTTATCATTTTTTAGATGGTAGAAGATGTAACACTAAACTACAAAACTTTTGTTAGTATCATTCTACCTTTTAAGAAAATAAGATTTCAATTTAAGAATTCTCATGCAATGAAGACATTAATTATTATTAGTGTTTTAACGACTTGTGATGAGCCCAGTAGAGTATCAAATATTTGGCATCTCTGGAAGGCTCTCGAAACTTTGGATTTGTCTACTTCGAAAAAAAAAAAAACCTTTGGATTATTCTCTGTAATACTTGTTTAAAAAACAGCATGCTCATGTAGGATCTTACGTCACTCCCTTAATCAATCAACCATGGAGTTGTGGAGGCCCTTTGTTAAATTGCATATAAACCAGAAAGTCTCTTGATCCACAATCAACCCATTTGCAATGGCTTCACAAACCCACCAGCTACACTTTGTTTTGATACCCTTAATGTGCCAAGGCCACCTTCTCCCCATGGTAGACATGGCCAAGTTATTAGCACAACGAGGCATGATTGTCACTATTGTCACCACACCCCTCAATGTTATCCAATTCAGTGCAACCACTGATCGCGCAATTGAATCCGGACTCCCCATCCGGGTTGTCCAACTCCGGTTTCCATCCGTGGAGGCCGGCTTGCCGGAGGGATGTGAAAGCATGGACACTCTCCCCTCTGTAAAATTGTTTTGGAATTTCTTCGTCGCGCTTGACATGTTGCAGTCACCCCTAGAACAAGTGGTCGAAGAGATGCAGCCCAGTCCAAGTTGCATAATAGCCGATAAGCATTTTGCTTGGGTGGCCGATACAGCTAAAAAGTTTGAGATACCAAGGATTATTTTTGATGCCATGAGTTGCTTCACTCTCTTGTGTACACACAATTTACACATTTCCAAGGCTCATGAGGGTGTCCCTGGGTCACATGATCGATTTGTTGTGCCTGGCTTGCCCGATCATATCGAGTTCACTAGAGCGCAGCTGCCCGGAGAATTCAATCCAGGCTCATTTAATATAAAGGTTTTTCGCGAACGAATAAGAGAAGCTGAAATGGAAGCACATGGAGTGGTGGTTAATAGTTTTGAGGAGTTGGAAGCAAAATATGTTAGCGAATATCGAAAGGTGAATAAGATATGGTGTATTGGGCCGTTGTCATTGTGCAACAAAGAGGACTTGGATGAGGCATGGAGAGGAAACAAGGCCTCAATCGATGAGAACCAGTGCCTGAAGTGGCTTGATGCATCGAAGCCAGGCTCTGTAGTCTATGCTTGTCTCGGAAGGCTAACTAATGTTGCAGCTCCACAACTAGTAGAGCTCGGTTTAGCCTTGGAAGCATCCAACTGTCCCTTTATTTGGGTAATAAAAGGAGGAGATAAAGCGAAGGAGATAGAGAAGTGGATTGAAGAAGAAGGGTTCGAGGAGAGAACAAAAGAGAGAGGCCTTTTGATACGAGGTTGGGCTCCGGAAGAACTGATCTTGTCACACCCTGCGATTGGGACGTTCTTGACACACTGTGCTTGGATTTCAACACTGGAAGGAGTATGCGCCGGCGTGCCAATGATAACATGGCCCTTATTTGGCGTGCAGTTCTTGAATGAGAAGTTGGTTGTAGAGGTATTGGAGATTGGTGTGAGTGTTGGGGCTGGGGTGGTTGTGCACTTGGGTGAAGAAGACAAGTTTGGGGTGTTGGTGAAGAGGGAGGAAATTAGGAAGGCTGTGGTGAGAGTGATGGGTGGAAAAGAAGGAGAAGAGAGGAGGAGAAGAGCAACAGAGTTTGGGGAGATGGCAAACAGGGCAATAGAAGAAGGGGGATCATCTCACCTCAACATCACACTGCTGATCCAAGACATAATGCAAAAAGCAAAAGATTGACAATCATTTCAGAATGGTGCTACGTAAACTCATTAAATTAGGACTCCGAACAACTTTGTGACTATTTTGCTTCGAATCTCTGTTACTACATCTCTTCCATGGATTGTTTTACAAAATAAAGGGAGACATAATTATTTTATTTTTGAAATTCAATTCTATTAGTCTTGTAAATTTAAAATAATGTAAAAACAACATAAAAATAAATGGTAAGTGATAAAATATGAATTTTATTAGGGGACAGAAAAATTAACTACATATTGTGAACTAAAATAAATCAAATTAAGTGTGAATTTGTGAAATATATGATGTATAAATGAATTTTTACTGTATTCTATTAAAATATCCAAATAATTAATGGTTACCAAGCACAATTGAACAAGAAGAGTATAAAAGTAAAACCTTGAGACAGAACATTCTCTTAGGCTACACTCTCTCATAGTCACTCCCATCTGCTATAACACTTTCCATGGGTACGAACAAACCTTTGTAACACACTGAAAGTACAAAGAATTTCCCCTTCTTACAGAGAGAGAACTTCTTCACTCCAAAATTTTCTTTTCCCTCTCGATTTCCCTTATTTATAGACGGTTACAACCTCCTTTGGCCTGGGCCTTATCTACTTCCCTTTGCCTGGACTCAACTTCCCTCATTTTAACATGGGCTTCTGAAATGACTTTATGGACCTGGGCCCATCCCGCGCAAACTTGCTCCATCCCGTTTGTCCATACCCGACCCGTCCTTTGCAATGCGGATCACACCAAACCCGGGTCATTTTGGTGTCCTCATTTGCCCCCAATAATCTCTTTCCTCATTAATGAGGGTGAGATTGTTGAAAGGACATGATCTTGGTCTGACGGCTTGGAGCAATGACTCGAGGAATCGAACGGCTGGCACAAAAACCCAAGTTTCGAGATCTGCAGCGCCACTTTTTGCCTTGACCTTTTGAGTTCCATGTCGCCTTTACTTCTTCTCTTTATAAATTCTGGTCTTTCAACCTTCACCCTTCCTCTTACCTCTCGCTTCTACTCTCTGTTGCTTTCCTGCACATTCCGGCGATCCTTTTTAATTTCTCCGGCAAGTCCTTCCTTTTCGATTTTTAGCTACTGTGCCGTTGCTGAGTTCATCACAAACTTTCAAGGTTAGTTTTTTTAAAATCTCTCCTTAAAAGACGCCTTTATTTTTAAATCTCTCCTTAAAAGACACCTTTACTGCCTAGGACTCTTCCCCTTATTTATGGCTTCCCCTAACCTGAACGCCATTCGATCCAAGAATCACATTCCTCGCGACGTTTCTCTCAGAGTCTACCCAATAAACTTAGACGAGAGATCTAGTGAGGGACTTCTTCCTGGGGAAGTTTTATTCTCTGCTGTTCACTTGAACGTCATTAGGTTCCCCCTACACCCGTTCTTTTGTTATGCTTTCAACAAATTGGGGCTCTGCCCCCTACAAGTTAACCCAAACTTTCTTAAGGTAATTTCAGTCCTCCTACTCTTGAATCGTGATAGGGGTCTCAATCTTGACATTATTGACCTTCTCCTCTGCTATCGGATTAACAAGATTTCACAAAATGATTTGTACTATCACTTCTTTCCTATTGACAAACGGTCGATCTGCACTGATAAAAACTCATTTGAAAAAGGTTGGAGACGAAATTTAATCGTGGTTGGTGGGAATTGGCAGACTCCGCTCGGCCAATCATTCACTATCCCTTCTTCTTTTGGAGCATGTTCTGTCTCTAGCTACAAAAAGCTGAAAACACATCCTATCGAATGCCACTGCGAAAGTTGTCTTCCCCGTTTTTGTACTTTTCTTTGTAGATGCCTTCAAATTCCCCATGATGAACTAGTTTATAGCGTCTGCAGGGCTAGGCTAGATACCTTGCAAGAAAGTGTGATGAACGATGTCCCTTCAGCTACTGATTTGCTTACATCTGATAATCTCTCTGACATCTCTCTTTTAGGGTCTACAATGGAGAACATTCAGATCCCATCGTTTAGTAGGAGGAGGCGTGTAATACCCCTAATTTAAAAAAAGATAGGTTTGGAATTTATTTTATTATTTGAAGTTGAATTTTAATCATTTAATTGTTTCTTTGAAGTGTTTGATAATTATTTAATTATTGTAATTAGTTATTTGGTTAGTTGATATGGTTGTTATTTGTTTAAATTGATGGTTTCGTTGTTAGCGTGACTGGATTTAATTATTTCAAATTTAATTGTTTAATTGTTGGTTACTTGTAACTGTGTTGTAGTTAATTTTTCTTATTCTAAGTTAAGTTGTTAATTGTCTTTAATTGTTTAGTTATGTGTTTAATTGTAATGGTGTTATATTTAATTCTTTATTGTAAATTTAAATTGGTAATTGTCTTGATTTAATAAGTAGGGTTTTACTTTTAATCAGTTTGTAAGCCGTCGTAGGTTTCTCAGTATGGTGGATGGGCCGGTTAGGATTTCAGTTGGGGCTTGAATTAATTTAGGGTTTAGTAAAATTCTATAAATATATGTTAGATGTTTGGTTAGGGTTTTAGAAACATAACAAAACCAAGTATACGACTGTGGAGACAAAGGAAGAACAGAGAGTGTTCACATTGGTTTTCGTCGGAACTTTAGAGACGGCGTAGAGATTTTTGGACAAAGATCTCAAAGGCAAGTTCTAACCTTACTCTCTCCCTTATACTCGTGTTCTTTGCATACTCAATAGTTCCAGGATGAATTACATGTTTAAAAATAAAAACGTTATCTGTTTCATGTTTAGAGTTTAACTGAAACTGAATTTATTTTAAAATTGTTAAACTGGTTAACTTTGAACTTTCTTGTTTAATTCTTGGTTTAATCCATATTAGTAGCATAATAAGGACTGAATTAAGGGTTGGAATCTTCTGGGATTAAGTTAAACTCTCTGAAAACCTATACTGTGAAGTGTCGGAGGCGTAAACGACGACTGGAGAGGAGAACACGAAGAAGAGGAGGGAGAGAGCCGGCTCCTATTGGATTGGAACCGGCTCTCCTTGGATTGGAGGCGGCTCCAATGGTCTAGGAGCCGGCTCCAAGGCCATTGGAGGCGGCTCCAATATTCTGGAGCTGGCTCCAGGTTGTTTTCTACGTGGGTTTTTGGTTCTGTTGTTTGTTTTTCCACTTTTCAGTGATTAAGCTTCATAGTGATTGTTTTACTATGTTTTAGTGGAGAATGAATACTGTAATGGATGGTTTAGGAGTGGTCTAGAGTAAACATAAATATTCAAAGATCAGATTAACATAGAATTGGACACAAAGCATTAATCATTAGGATTACGTGGAGTTAATTACGAATGTCTTGTAGACTTGTGTGGATTTGGAGTTTCTAACTTCTAGATTATAATGGAAAATTTCTTGTGAGAGTTTGTGCACTGCTAATTGCAAATTCTTAGAATATACATACATATAAGGAATCTGTATTTTTGCTAAAGATTAATTGATGATTAAACTTAACATTTAATTCGTCAATTTTGTTGAATAGGAACTTAACAGTATGATAAATTGTCTAGATTTATTATGCATGCCATGGAAATAAATATTATAACATTTGTTTAAGCTCTGTTAATTATGGATACCGGGAATAAACTTATATTTACAGACACAGTCCTGTGGGTGATCAGGTAATGGCTTATTGTTGGATTAATTAAGCATGTTTTTCTAGTATACTTTAATGTGCTTAGTTTGGAACTGTGGGTTTTGACACTGATACTGTTAGTACTTAATCAATGGTTGGATTTATTAAAGCATGATGGTTAATCTATTCTAACATGGTTAGGTTGGAATTGTTGGTTTTGGCATTTATAAATTATTTAAATGTGTGGAATAAAGTAATTAATATTGATATTTATGTTTCCAATGTTAATCAATTTGTTGGGACTATTCAAGAACGGTTGTTAATACATTCTGATATGCTTGATATGGACTCGTTGATATTGTTATGTACTTGTATATGCTTTATCAACTATTGGACGGATGAGATTGTATGTACCGGTATGTGACGGTGACATACTAGGTTTGGATTAGCTCAAATTGCTAAGTCCTACCTATTTTGGAGTAAGGGCACGGGTTATAAAATACAATCCTCCTTATATATATAAGTCGGTACGGTTGAATACGCCGAGTGATTTACTGGATTTCTTGTGGATGGTTAGAAACGGAGTTTAGATATATTTTTATGTTATCGTGTCATGAGTTTAAGTCTCAGTGTCGACGGTTAGGGTGCGTATATGCAGTTGGATGTGTAGCTGACTGTGAAGGTTGAGGTATACCCTGTTTAGGTTTAGGTACTCATGCCCACTTAGGTGCGTATTGTGTGATGCCTTCTATCCAGGTTGAGACCCCCTTCATAGCCTAGCGAGAGTCCAGTAGTGTGGATATATTTATGTACGGATTATTAATTATTGTTGAACTATTTAGTATGTACATGCGTATCGAGTCTCTGCTTGGATTGTAGTAGGATAGAACTTGTTCGTGGGCCTGACCCACTCCTATTTTTCAGGTGTACGTCAGTTCCAGGCTTGAGCTTGTTCGTGCTGAGCAGAGACAATTTTCCATTCTACCGACGATGTAGGATTTCTTTCTAGATCTTGGATTTGGATTTTATCTTCTATTTTACTTTCATTCAGTGTGAGATTTTTATTAGGGGTCCACTAGAGATGGATTCCCGAGTTGTTCAAATTATGGATTTTTGGTTTATCAAATTTAAGTATTTAATTATTTAAGGATTATCTTTTAGTTTTCTTTTCAGCTTTAAACTTTCATTTCTTAATTCATTTTGTATTCTGTGTTCGTTATAAAATATTAATTGTTTGATATTCCCTCGGGTTTGGGCCTGGCCTGATCAACCCGTGTCTCGGATCCGAGGGGTATCACAAGGCGTCCTGCTCGCACCCCTTCTAACGCTCCTGCTATCATATCATCATCACCTACACCTGCTTCCACATTATCTTTCCTTGCTGTCTCTGCCCCAGAGCAAGTTGCGATTGCCCCAGCTGTGATTC